GAGGATTCACCAAAGATTGATACCCGATATTCTGTTTTCCTGGTATGTATTTCTCTCTCACTAACCATTCCTTCTTTTTGAAATAAAACCCATTGCTGTAAATGGGAGCCAAGAAGTTCCCCATGTTGCTTTGATAGAGACAAGTCACGAATCAGATCACTTAGCTCTTCTTTTGTGATCAGATGAGGCAGTTTATGTTGAGGTGCCACAGGAATAGAATTACTAGATGAAGAGGATGAAGATGATTTATTGTCTTCTTTGCATGATAACTTTTCTGTTTCCTAATTCGCTGGTGGATGTGGCACTGGAAGACCATCCCCATGAGGTACTGGTTTCCTTGTAGATGCAATATCTGGGTATTTAATGTAATATTTAGCTCTACCTGAATATCCAGAAACATTAGTCATACAAAATAAAAATTAGATCATCTTTGGACTCACGCCGTATCATGGGAACTGCAAATGGCATACTTGCTTCTGTTTTTATTCAGCCACTGTGTCAAGCCAAATGTGCAAACTGCACAACACATATGTGGAATCCAATTTTACACCCGAAATAGTGGTAGTAAGCTACGTTTATCTTGTGTGTGATGTTTTTCTTTCGTGAAAGTTTGATTAATTTTCCACAAATGTAGCAGAAACTGTTTGGGTGGTTTTTGCACTTTCGGAATTTACTTGAACTGGAAGCAGCTAGCATTTCATATGATTTTCTAAAAAAATATAAGTTAATTTATTATTACAGAACTAGAGTTTAAAAGATTTTAAAAACCAAGTTTTGCAAAATTTGACTATATCGGACTTTGTTTTTACTGTGTGCAGAGCGAGGCAAAGTTACCAACTGAGTGAGAGAGAGGCGTCTGATTCTGCTTCTTTTATGCTCAGTCGAGAAACTTCTCGAGTGTTCTGGCAAACTGAGTACATGAGAGTTTCGTGATACCCGGCGGAGCAGGTGAGTGTGGGAATGAACCTGAAGTGGTGCAATTCACTACAGTTATATCGAGAATAAGTAGTATATATGAACACTATATTTGGAATTTTACACCAATACAGTCAGTGTTTGAAGTGATCAACAAATGTATGTATTTTCCTGTCCAAGTAAACTTAATTTCACATCATATATCTACTGTACTGAGTTGAGTGCATGGTATTTCATATAATGCTGATAAAATATTGATATCTTACAATAACTCAAATTCTAGAAGTGACTGACAAATCTGACTACATTTTTGAAATCGGCACCACTTGACTTTTCCCCAATAGCAAAATGTTTCTTGTCCAGTATTATTCAGACAATAGTGAAAGCACTCTTTGACATCATCTCCACTGGGACAAGGATAAAATACGCTAGAAGTACTTACTTAGTGATACGAGACGAGTCAGATGAGGAGCTGTGTGACAGCTTTAATGGTTAGCCAAGATATTTAAGGAGATCTCCTGATCAATATGGTTGTAATTAACTGCCAGTTACTTGGTTGTAAGATCTATGACTGAAAGGAAGTGGTATTCCTTACTTGCAAGTCACAAAGCAGTGTTTCATGGTTGAGATATCCCTATGATATTGGGTGATAACTGCTCTATTTTCGTAAAGTTTGTTGATTAATGCTTAGAATATTACCAGTTTATACAATTGGAGATCATCGCTAGGAGTTTGGATTTGTGTGTGTTTTATAGCAAAGCCACATCGGGCTATCTGCTCTGTCCACCGAGGAAACCATTGATTCTAGCCCTGTCCTACGAGGGGATAGGAATTTGAAAACTATACTTACTTTCTGAGCTATAGAGCGATGTTTGGTGGTGACATCTTGTGATAATTGATCACATTATTTAGCTATATAGTAGTGAAATTTCTGTTCAACAACACCGCGTGATACTCAATAGATATACAGCTAGGACAGCTGATGTTATTAGATCTAACATTTAGAATGTTTTCAGTTTGCAGCGCTGAAAATGTTCATTAGAATGTCTAAT